GCATTTTAATTATGATGTGTCTTGGTGTGGGCCTCTTTGGGTTTCTCTTGTTTAGGACTCTGTGCCTCCTATACTTACAAGTCTATTATGTCTTTCGCCAGGTGTTTTCTATATGTTGCTAGGTAGGGAAAATTTTCTGTCATTATTTCTTCACATAGGTTTTCCAAACCTTGCTGTCTCTCTTCTCCTTCTGGTACCCCCATAATGCGAATGTTGGTACACTTGAAGTTGTCCCAGAGGCTCCTTACACTATCATTACTTGATTCTTTTTTTTTTTTTTTTAATATATTTTATTGATTTTTTACAGAGAGGAAGAGAGAGAGATAGAGAGTCAGAAACATCGATGAGAGAGAAACATCGACCAGCCGCCTCCTGCACATCCCCCACCGGGGATGTGCCCGCAACCCAGGTACATGCCCTTGACCGGAATCGAACCTGGGACCTTTCAGTCCGCAGGCCGACGCTCTATCCACTGAGCCAAACCGGTTTCGGCTACTTGATTCTTATATGTGCCCTGACCTGGGATCGAACCCACAACCTTGATGTAAGGGGATAAGCTCCAACCAACTGAACTATGGGGCCAGGGCAAATGTGTCCTTAATCTTAAGAGATGCCTGCTGAGCTATTAGGGGTAGAGTGTCATGCAATTTACTCTCCAGTGGTTCAGCAAAAGAAATGTATATATGCAGATAAGGAAAACTTAAAGTGTTAACAATGAAATCTAGATGGAAGGGTATTCAAGTGCTCTGAATACATACTTTCTAAAAAAAATATTTTCTATGTGCTTGAAGATTTTCATAATAAAAGGAGGGTACAGCCCTAGCCGGTTTGGCTCAGTGGGTAGAGCGTTGGCCTGCGGACCGAAGGGTCCTGGGTTTGATTGTAGTCAAGGGCATGTACCACGGTGGCAGGCTCCTCCCCCGCCTGGGCCTTGGTCAAGGATAAGTGCAGGAGGCAACCAATCCATGTGTCTCTCTCACATTGATGTTTCTCTCTGTCTCTTCCTCTCTGTTCCACTCTCTCTAAGAATCAATGGAAAAATATCCTCGGGTGAGGATTAAAAAAAAAAAAGAGGGTACAGTGCTACTTAGAACCAGGCCCCCTCACAAGGCAAATTTTTATAATTTTGCCCATAACCTATGTTTTTGGGTGAGGGGGGAGGAAGCTCAGAGGCTTGCTCCAGCTCATATACTGAGGAAGAGCTCACAGGAGTCATTTGATTAATGTGTGTTTACTGAATACCTACTATGTGGTGAGCACTGTTGTTGATGATGGGGATACAGCAGTGGGTAAGGCTCACAAGGTCTCACTTCTTATGGATTAGGAGAGAGGGTGGAGAAAGAAATATGAAAAGAGGTGACATGGAGGAGAGGTAGTAAGGCTCTGCGGGAAGAGTCTGTGCAAAAGCCTGGAAGTGGGAGTGTGCTTGCTGTTGGCCAGGCAGTGGGACCAGGGTAGCTGGGTTGTACGCTGCCTGGAGGAGCAGATAAGTGTTCAGGCCCTTCAGAGCACTCTCTGGACCATTGTTTTTCATTCTGAGCAGGATGAGAAGACCCTGGAAAACAAATAAATGATTAAGATGATCTCTGCTTCCATTCAGTGACCTCAGGCAGACAAATAGGATGGCATTCATGGAGAGGCTGGGGAGACGTGTCTGTAGCCAGGTGGCCCGGGAGAGGGAGAGCCTCCCTGAGGCGGTGACCTTGGAGCTGAGACAGAAAGTGGAGAAGGAGCTGGAATTCAAAGGGCTGGGGGAAGGGAGAAGGAGAGCGGTGGGGCCTTGAGAAATGAAACCAGAAGCGAAGTCACCGGGCCCTGCAGGCCTGGGAGGAGCCTCTGCCAGCTGGGGAGGGAGGGGAATAGGAGGAGCGCCCGTCCCCCTCCCCCCTCCCCCCTCCTCCCTCCGCCGGCCTCTGGGGAGGAGGAGGCGCCGGGCGGGCTCCTGGCTGCCGCTGCCCGGGGTATCCCGCCGTGGCCAGCCCAGGGAGGGGGGTGAACAGTGGGTAGGACCTGGCCTCCCTGGCCACGCCCGGAGGTGGCCGCGGCCCATGCCCCGCCGAGAGATGGCGGGGCGGGGGAGGGTTAGAGAACGTGGACTCTGCCCCCAGGGACCCGGTGCTCTCTCCGCTGGGCCAGCCTTCCCCTTCTCTCTCCAGTTCTTTGAACAGGGCAGGAGCTGGTCCTCCCCGAGCCTCAGTTTATTTATCTGTAAAGTTGGGTGCTATTGATCTTACTGTGGTTATCGTTATGACATTTAAAGAGACTGTTTAAAAGTGAGTCAGAGCTGGTTGTCCCTCTGTTCATGACTGTCCCATCCATGGCTTCCATCTCAGGATAAAGCTCACGTCCATCCTGTGGGCCTCCCACAGACCCTACCCACGATTAGTCCCCCTCAACTCCTAGTACTCTCCCCCTTGCTCGCTCTGCTCCAGCCACACTGACCTCCTCAGGGTCCCCAAACTCTCCATCACGCTCTGACCTGGGCACCTCTGCACTGGCTGTTTCCCCTGCCGGGATTAGGTGCCCCCCCCCCCCCCCATTCACTTGGCTCACTTCTCACCTCCTTCAGGTCTTTACTCAAATCACACCTTTTCACTGATGCCTCCTGACATAGTGACGCCGCCATCACATTCATGCTGCTTCCCTAACATTTATCACCACCTGACAGACCTTACGGTTGCGTACTGTGCGTTCATTTCAGCCTCCCCCCACTACAATGCTTTATGAAAGCAGGAACTGCCCCTTTTACTCACGTGCCAGGAACAGGGCCAGGCCCACAGTGGCCACTCAATAAATCTGAGCCATTTTGAAGCTGGAATCCTTAGTGTGCACAGGCCCCCTTTTACACACTTTGCAGGGTGGCTCAATGGGGCAAGTATTACTTCAGGTCCCGAGGTTGGGACACGCGGGTATGTGTGCAGGATGGCAGAGAAGGATGCGGCTGGAGCATAGGAGTGAGGAGCGTTGAGGAGATGGGTTCTGAGAAGTGGGAGGGAGCGTTGGCCCTAGCAGAGTCAGGAGTTTATTTTTTTCAACAATAGCAAAAATAATTTTTTAGAGTGCCCACCTATGCCAAGCATAGTTCTATGCACCAGGAGACAGCTGGACTAAGACCGACAAAACCCCTTTCTCTGATTTTCCAGTGGGCCAGGAGGCTAACCACAAACAGGTAATGAGTAACTGGAGATTGGGAGGGTGCTACTAAGAAAGTCAAACAGAATATGATGGGTGTTGGTGCATCTGGACATGAACTCAGGGAAGGCCTCTCTGAGAAGCATCCTCTGGGGAGTTAACAGCAATGCAGAGGCCCCAGGGTCAAAATGAGTTTGGGATGAAAAGAGACCAAAATGGCTGGAGGGGAGGGGAGGGAGGAAAGGGAAAGTGGGCAAGTTAGGAGCAAGATTGTCAGGTCTCACAGGCGTTTGTGAAGTTGGGGTTTTATTCTGTGTGAGAGGTCACTGAAAGGTTAAGGTAAGACCCGGCACCCACCTATTAGTTACCCCACTGCTTTCAGGTTAGATGCAATGCCCCTCTCAGGGTGAGAACCTGGCTTTTAAGTCAGAAAGCACAGGCAAAATTCCCCTTTTCCTTGCCTGTGGACTACACCAGTGTGGTTCCTCCTTGCAACCCTTTCAGAAAAGTCCCTAAAGCGGTGTAAACTCACTTGCTGCACGTCAAGACTTCGTGGAGGCATAGCCAGTGCAGTAGCAATGCTATCACATGTATCTTCCCTGGTCTTTTTCCCTCACGCTCACCAGCCTGGGCTTGTACCTCCCAAGTAAGTCCTTAGAACCATAACTTTAGCCCGGGCTAAACAGTATTTTTTCTCCTCTGGGCCTCAGCAGCACATTTCAGACAATGAAAGGGTTGACATTTAAGTGCCAGAAAGTCTTATCTTTTATATATATTACATATGTATGTATATTATTATTATTGATTTCAGAGAGGAAGGGAGAGGGAGAGAAACATCACTGAGAGAACCATTGATCAGCTGCCTCCTGCATGCCCCACACTGGGGATCAAGCCTGCAACCAGGTATGTGCCCTGACCAGGAATTGAACCAGAATCTGCTGGTTCTTAGGTTGATGCTCAACCACTGAGCCACACTGGCCAGGCTTCTTTTTTTTTTTTAATTCTCACTCAAGGAGTGAGGATATTTTTTCCATTGATTTTAGAGTGGAAGGGAGGGGAAAGGGGGAGAGGGGAAAACATATATGTGACATGGGGGGCAGGGTTCGGACCTGCAACCCAGGTACGTGCCCTGGACTGGGATCAAACCCACAACCCTCCAGTGTGCAGGCTGACGCTCTAACCACGGAGCAAGCTAGCCAGGATAAGCCTTATCTTTTGACATATAATTCATGTGACTCAGTTTCTCCATCTGTGTCTACCCATGTGGCTGGGGAGTCTAAATCTACCAAGGAGCTAGTGAAGGGCCAGGCTCTGGAGGTGTATGGAGTTTGAGTCCTAAATCCCTGCTCTTACTAGTTGTGTGACCCTGAACAAGTGACTTGGCCTCTGGACCTCAGGTTCCTCCTACAGTCAACGTGATTATAGTATCTACTTCTATAACTGTGAAGATTTAATGACTCAATTCAAATAAAGTGGGTAGAACAGTGCTCTAACAAGCACTCAATAAATGTTACATTTAATGGTATACCTGCCCCAGCTTTGACAGGGAAGGGGTACAGGTGTCTAGGAACTTACCAGGTACCTCCCATTGACCCACTGTTTACAAACTTTAGGCAATACCATCCCTTCCAAAATACTTTTTTTTTTTTTTTAATATATTTTATTGATTTTTTACAGAGAGGAAGGGAGAGAGAGATAGAGAGTTAGAAACATCGATGGGAGAGAAACATCGATCAGCCGCCTCCTGCACATCTCCTACCGGGGACGTGCCCGCAACCGAGGTACATGCCCTTGACCGGAATTGAACCCGGGACCCTTCAGTCCGCAGGCCGACGCTCTATCCACTGAGCCAAACCGGTTTCGGCCCAAAATACTTTTATTAAAAAAAAAATAATAATTACAATTAAAACCTCCCCCCTACCCCACCCCCAAACCACCACAAAACCCGCCTTTCTTTTAAATAACGCGGCACGGAGCAGTTTGGTTTCCACCTATTGCACGTGGTCCGGCCTGGTTAACATCAGGAGGCTGCTGGGACTGGGTCCTGCCAAGGAGGTGGGGTTCAGCCTTGGGGGAGGAGGCCGGCCCCTCCTACTCCTTCCAGGTACAAGAGGCAGCTTCTCAGTCATTCTTTGACAGGCCCAGCTTATCTTCCCTGAGGCCCAGTGGTCACAAAAGGAGTAAGAACTGGAGGAGAAGGCAGAAGAAATGTGGCAGTGGGAAATCAGACTCCTAGAAACAGAGTCTCATTAAGGCATTTGGAACAGATAAATTAATTCAGGAAGACCCACCTTCACAGAAGGCTTCGGTAACCAGACACACACGCACGCACGTGCGCAATACAGTTTATGGAACCCTGATATGGGAGGAAAGGAGGCCAGCCACTGCTTAAAGCCTCCACCAACACACACACACACACGCACACACGCACGCACGCACGCACGCACGCACGCACATGCACTCAGGGATCCAGCCCACTGAGGCTGAGATGTGGAGGGAGCACCCTTCAATCATCCAAGTTTTAGGATCCCAGAATGATTTCCATGATGTGATCTAGTTCATTCCACTCCCAGGACCCTGGGGTACAGAAGAAGTTGTGAGGAGGCTCCGGTGGGGCCAGTGCAGGCTCCTTCTCCACAGTGGATGTGTCAATGTCCAGAAAAAAATCATCCAGACCTGAGTCCCCCAGGTACCGAGAGCTCAGAGCTTCTAAGAAGACTGGATCAGGCTGGGGCAGCTCTTCATTCTGGGGACCCGGGGGAGCCACTGGATTCTGAGGGGTCTCGGTCTCGTCCATGGAAGTCTCTAGCTCCCTGAGAATAGAGCCAATGGTGGTTGACAAGGAGAAGTCCTCCTCACCCAGGAAAAGGGGCTCAGGGGGCAAGGCAGGTGCTGGAGCCAGACAAAGCGCGGCCTGAAGCTGCTGGAGGGTGTTATGGATGAGGACGTGCCTTCGGAGGCTCGGTGCTCGGGGGCCGAGGCTCCGCTGAACTTTGTCCAGGGAAATTCGGAGCAGGGCTTGCTGGTAGCTTCGAAGGCCTGCTGGACCCCAGTCCCACTTCTCCTCCTCTTCTTCCTCCAAGTCGGAGTGTTTCCTCTTCAAGCCTCCTACCATGGTGCCCTGTGGAAAGGGAGGGGCCAGTCAGACACAGTAGGGCTAGTAGTTCAAATCCTGAATCTCCTGCATGGTTGTTGTTGATTTTTAATGATCTGAACTTCAGTTTTTGCCTCTACAAAATAAATAGAGATGGTAGGAATCCCATTTCTTACGTGACTAAGAAAAATAAGACCTGGCATAGCTGGGTTTGAATCCCACTTACTTGCCTGGGTCGCCCAGAATAGTGAGTTTTCCTTCTTGAAACAGTTTCCTCATTTGCAAGATCAGTATCCCAACTCAGGTTCCTTTGAGCCTTAAAGCTATTCTTTCCACAGTACTCATTAAAAAAAAATTACTGATTGATTTTAGAGAGGAAGGGGCAGAGGGAGAGAGAAACATTGGTTTGTTGTTCCACTTATTTAAGCGTTCAAACCTTCAGTTCAACCTTGGTGTATGGGGGTGACGCTCTAACCCACTGAGCTACCCGGTCAGGGCTTCTACAACGCTCATTTCTCCAAAGGTGACACATACCAGACAGGTGTGGAACACAGAGACCTAGGCTGGAGGCAGGGAACCCTCGCTTTGAATTCTGCCTTTCACACCGCTCACCTGTGCGATTTTGGGACGTGATGTGACATGACCTCTCTGGGCATCAGTTTCCTCACCTATGAAATGGGGATTGTAAAAATTCTCACCACATCGTCAAGGAGACCCCACGTGTGACATGCACGGGGCTCACCACACAGGAAATGCTCACTGAACAAGAGTTGTCATTTATTAATTCAATAATTTTACTTACTGAGTGCTACTATATTCAAGCCACCGGGAGCCCTGTTTGGGCACCTCACCTATTTGTCAAGCCTCTTCTTTCAGAGTCTATTTCTGTCCACGATGTTCTCCTAACTGACTGAGCGCTCCCAACCGGAGAGAAGGCTCCTTCCTCCTTCCCTCCGCCCCCGCCTTCTGCTTCCCCCTCCGTGAGGCCCCGTAGCCGTAGAAAAACTTGCTAGAACTCGATTCACGCCAAGCCCCACCCCTCCCGACCTACCCAACCAGACCTCGGTCCTGTGCAGGCCCCGCCCCCTTCACGGAGCGCCCTTCAGCAGCCAGCCACGCCCCAACGTGGTCCTAGGGCTTCTGGGAAATGTGGGCCAATAGCCGCCAGGTACACACGTAGACTCGAGCGTGCACTGCCATCCCCAGGGAGCTCCGCACGCCACAGGAAGAACCTCCCCCACCCTCCCCAGGGCATGCGCACTGACGCCCGGAGCGGGTGGGGGAAGGGAACCCGGACGTTCAGCGGCCCGGCGCCTGCAGGGCCCCGCCCTCCGCTGCCTCCAGGGCTGCGGGTCAGAGCTCCGCGCCCGGAACACCCCTCCCCCACCCAGGCTGCAGCTCTAACATCGCTTTCTTCCGATCTTTCGGGCCCCAGAAGGCCCTGGAGTCTTCCCCCAAACTGCTCTCGCGTCCAGGGACCCAGGCGCCAACACATCGTTCAAAGACTACAAATGCTCTCCCATCCACTCCGTTTGGGACACTAGGTCTCTCAATTTTGAGACCTTTCGCCTATTCTCCTGTCTTTCAAGCAAACTCTCCACTTCACCTCCAGAGCCCCCTCACCCCCCGGCTCCAAGATCTGAACACAGGACTCTCCCCAGAACCCTCTCTCCGCCACTGCGTCTGGGAAACCAAGACGGCTTGCCCCTGGTTCTCTCGCTTCTCCAAGTGCCGGGGATCCCAGCCCCAACCCCTCCCACCTTCTCCAGAACACCAGACCCTCGAATTCAACCCGTCAGGGAGCCCGGAACTGTCCCAATCTCCAGATTCCCTGCCCCAAAAGTTCCTTCCCTGGTTCTCTCGCTTCTCCAAATACCGCAGGTCCCAGCTTCAAACTCCCTCCACTTGAAGATCCTGCCCCACCAACTTCGCCTCCAGTCCAAGATTTCAAATTCAGTCTCCGATCCCCAAACCCTATCAGTCACTCTGAACCTGCGCTCCCCACTCCCACCCAGAGTCCGCCTCCGCGACTCTCGGTGTGCGCCCCCCCCTCCCCCAACCCAAGGCAGGTCTCCGGCCAGGCAGCCGCCCCTCACCTCGGCTGCCAGGCTCACTCCTGGCACACCCGCAGCTTTGCGACCCTCCAGCGGTGGGCAGGGGCCTCGCTCGCCGCCCGGGGTCCTCTCGCTCTGGCCTCCGGCTCACCCAGCTCCGCCCCGAGCCGGGCCGCGAGCCGCGATTGGCTGGAATCCTGCCCGCCGCGGGCGCGGACTGGCTGGGCGGAGCCAACCCTGTCACCCGGAGACGGACGCCCCGCCCTCCCTGCTCTGGCGCCCGAGACCTTTTAAAGAATTCCGACTGCCCAGGGGGCGGGGCCGCGGCTGCAGGGGGGCGGGGGACGGGGACACCGAAGCCGCTTCCTCCCCATCAGCGGCGGTCCTCGCTCGCACGTCGTCAGCGCTGCTCGCCGAAGCCCTTCACAGCAGGCCGGGGCCGCGAACCGGAGTCCGAGGTCGGGCGCTGCGGGGAGGATCCGCCGCCGAAGGCCAGCCAATGGTTTCGCGCGGCGTACGTTGCCTGGGCGATCGCAGCCCCCTTTCGCTGCCCCTGTCCTCCTGCCCCTCTCCGCACGTCACCTCTCCACCCCTCACTCTTCGGGACCCTTCAGCGGGGCTCCTGGCGGCCGTCCGTCCCCGTCCCCCTGACGCCCGTCCTGCCTCTCCCCGGATGGCACCTGCGCTGGGGAGACGGGTTCGCGGCTCCCCGCTACCCGGGGTACAGAGTCCAAACTGCTCATTTTCGCCACAAAGCCCTTCACGGTCTGGCCCGGGGCACACTCCTTGCTCCCCACCTTCCTGCCACACCAGTTTGGTTTTGAATCGTTTTCCGGTCCCTCCACCACCATGGACCCAGAGATTTTGCTCGTTTCTTTCCTTTATCCCCAGTGCCTACAGCAATGACAGCTACATAGCAAGTACTCAAAGGGGAGAATTAAAGGGGGTCAAATATATGGTAAGGATGGAAGCTAGACTTTTGATGATGAGCACACCAGACAGGATACAGGTATTGAATTGTAATGTACACCTGAAATTTACATAATGGAATAACCAGTTACCTCAATAAAAATTAACTTTAAAAATATTTCTGGATAAATCAATAAAAAAGAATGAAAGAACATTTGTAATTCTTTCAACAATAAAGATACATTTTAAGAACGAATTGAAAAGAAAAAGGTTTCTGGACCTTTCAACTTGTTTCCCATTCTGAAAATAGACCCTCAACTCCCAGGCTGCCTCTCATCAGAAATCATGTCAAAGGTTTCCTCTTCCTGGAAGCCCTCCCTGATGCTCCAGGGTGGATTGATTCTCACAGTATCCTGTTTTCCCCATTGAAACCCTCATCCTTTCCCTGGACTGTGGACTCCCTGAGGATAGGTACCAAGGTTATCTTGCTCACCAACTGTATGGTCAGCACAACACCTAGCAGAGGGCTGGACACAAGCAGGCATCCAGTGAAAGTTTGTTAAATGCCCAGACAATGTGGCAGAATGAAATAGAGGGCAGGAATGCAGAGTGCCAGTGCCCAGAAAGTTTGAACAAGTAGTGCACTCCCCCCCCCCCCCCCCGCACCCCACACACACACGTTTTCACCAAGAGGCGGGGAGGCAGTTTCCTCCAGGCTACCCCAGACCAGTTCTCTCTGGTTGGAATTTGACAACCAAGTCATCCTGCTGTTTGCAGATGCCGAGTAAGACTGGAATGGATTTTGTGAGTGATGGAGGTGGGGGTGAGGTGTTGCGTGGGAGCTGGGAAGAGGCTGGAGGCAGGAAGAGAGGAGCAGCTCTCACTTGGGCCTGGGAAAGGTGTCACTGGGGGATAAAGGCAGGGACAGTAGACTCCATGGGGACATGATTAAGAAGGGACAACTCTTCCCCCTCCTGCCTCCCAAACCTGCCCCTCCTCCAGGATCCTCATCTCAGGGAGGCCCCATGTTAACCTGGTCCCCAGGGTACAGCCCTGTGTCGTCCAGGTTGCCACCTTTCCCTCCCTCATGGCCGGTCCACTCAGGCTCTGCCCACTCTCTTCCCCTCAAGGTTTCTGCCTGGTCCCCCTGGGCTCCCAGCTTCCACTCTTGTCCCCCTCCCACCCACCTTCACACAATAGCCAAGGGAAGCTTTATAAAGCCCAAACCTGACTGTTCCCTCTCCCTACTTCTCCCCTGTTCCAGTCCTTGCATAAAACCTCAGGATATAGCTTAAACTTTTTACAATGACTCTGCACAATTTAGCATCCACGGAACAGCCTGTTGGGCTGCCTGCTCCTCACCGCTGAGGAAAGTATTATTAACTGTAGCTCCTCGTCTGCTCACCAGCCTCCTTCCCTTTGCTCATGTGCTTCCTTCTGCCCAGAAGCCGTCATGCCTTAGGACCTTCTCCTGGCTCATTCTTACCAAACCGGGTTTCAGGCAGGACCTCCCCTCTTCAACAGAGCCCCCAAGTTAGGTCACGTATCCCCTCTGGGTTCCCACAGCCCACTGTGCTTCCTCCCTCAGAGCCCTGGCCACTGTGGGCTGTCACTTCAGACTGAGATATGTGAAGGCAAAGCTCACAGCTATCTTGGTCACCACCGGGTCCTCACAGTCCCCACTAGGTCCCCACAGAGGGCCGGGTGCAGAACAGTAAACTGCAACTGAGGAAATGAAGGAATACCCAGAGAACCTTACACACAAGGCAGACAGAGACACTGAGATACCCAAAGCCAGAGTTGGAACTTCTAGCATACTCTGAAGCTCTTGGCTCAAGCTTTATTGCTGCCTTCCTGGGTTCCACATTCTCCAGGACGCTGTCCTCTGGACAGGGACAGAGCCCTAGTCATACTGGTGGGAAGGGTAGGTCCTGTGCCCGTCATACTCGTCGGTGGTGAGGCAGTGCAGCATGAAGTGGCCTAGGTCATGTTTGGAGATGACCCTTGAGGGTCCCCTTCCATCCAGGGTCACTGTGTAGGCCCCGGTCAGTGGCTGGTCCCCTGCAAAATAAAGATGAGGGGCAAGTAAAGATGTTCTTTCTCAGTTCCCCAACATGTGATCACTACAATGGTGGCCCAGGGGCCTACAGTGCGCCCAGCCAGAATGGTATTAAGAGCCATGTTATGTGAAACCCTTCTCATGCGCAGAGCACTAATCTATACCCTTTATTTAATTAATCTGACAAATTCTGATGACCTATTATGTGTCAGGTGCTGGGTCCCCAGCAAGGGACAAAACAGAAATTCCTGCTGTCAGCATGTAGACACTTGCTAGCTAAAGACAACTAATAAGAAAGTACAATACACAGTATGTTAGATGGGGAGAAATACAGCAGAGAATGGGCTAGGAACTATTTGTTAATTCTATTTTATAAGTGGGGACATTGGATCTTGGAGAGAGAAAGTCACTTTCAAGTGGCAAAGGCTAGATTTTCCCTGGGTGTCTCCATCTGGATGCTTTCCTATCTCTGGACCCCTCTGGAAGGGCTGAGTGACATGGCCCAGGCATGGGACTGTATTTCATAGGCAGTGGAAAAACACATTTCTCTGACTTTGTGAATATGGAGTCAGTGTCCTGATACCAGGGGTACAACTCCGTCTTTCTTAGACATGGAGACAGCAGACAGGCATGACCTGGCAATTACAGGGCATCTAGTGGCTGCATTATAATAATTTTTTAAAAAATATATATTTATTGATTTCAGAGAGGAAGGGAAAGGGAGAGAAAGAGAGAGAAACATCAATGATGAGAAAGAATTGTCAATTGTCTGCCTCCTGGACACCCCACACTGGGGATGGAGCCCACAACCCGGCATGTGCCCTGATCTGGAATCAAATCGTGATCTCCTGGATCATGTGTAAATGCTCAGCCACTGAGCCAAGCCAGCCAGGCCGCCCCAGCATGCTTCAGTTTCATTTTCACTGAAGAGTTCCACCCTGATCCTGGCTTCCTCACCCTGTATATATTTCTAGTGCAACCCTGAAAAAGTTACTGCTGCCTTGTGGTTTGTTGCGGACAGACCATGACTGCAGTAATGGCCCCAGAGAAGTCCAGTCCTGGGCTGAGGTGCTGGCTGATCCTGACCTTCACAGTGTTCCTGCAGTGTGTCTGCGTGGCCATGGCTTACATGTACTTCACCAGTGAGTTGCAGCAGGTCAGTGTAACGCATGTGGACGCACGGCAGCTGGCAGCGCCCTCGTGTTAACTGCCTCTCCTTTGCCTCTCTACTTGCTCCTCTTTGAAAACTTCATAGTGAATGTTTCCTTTCGCTGCCTGAGAGTTGTTTTGGTTTTATTTCTGTTGCATTTGTGTGTGGATAATAGTGAGACGGTAAAGGACGAGCATTCTGCCTATGTCTGTAATGCAGTGGTTATAAGCTGAGCTCACATTGTACTGCTCATCCTAAAATAATTGAAAATAAAACTGCCATTCTATGCCTGTGGATGGTTCAGGTACAAATCCGGGTGCATTTGACAGAGAGAAAAACAAAAACAAAAAACAGTGCCATTTTAATTCGTGTATTTCTCAACTATATAAAACGTTTGGAACTATAAATGCAAAATTGATAAAAAATAAACCAACTCAACTTCTTACCTTCTTATATATATTTTGACTAATTGTATATTATCAAAAACTATGAGTTGGAAGGAACTTTGAACACCCACATTTTATAGATGAGATTAGAGACCAGGATGGGTTACAGAAAATGATTGTCAGAGACTAACGTCTGGGTGCTGGAAGCCGATCCACCGTTGCTGCTTGACGCAGTCGCTGCAGGGATGTTTCAAGGGACCTGGCGTATATGGCATACTGTTCTTCATATGTTTGCTCTCACTTTTAACGCTATGTGTTTTAAACAGGACCACCTCTCTGAGAAAGGTTGTTTTCCCAGGTCAATAATTTTTTTAAAAAAACCAACAAAACACCTGCCAGTGACCAACTTAATTTAGGGATCAAAGGCAGCATACCAGTACAGGGACAACCTGGAATCATGTGCACTAAGAAACACA